ATTACGTCATTAGAAATTTGCTGAATATGCTAAATAATGTGTATACCTGATGTAAGCTAGTTTACAATTATATATTTAACGTTTATAGTACTTTAAAGAACAGTCMGTCAGTGCAGTGAAGTAAGTCAGTGTAGGTTGATGCCAGTTGGCACATAAAGAAGGTGAACTAAGTCGAAAATCAGCAGCCGATCGATATAACAAACGGCACGGCAAACACTGGCAATATAATCCTTCGAGGCGGATCTGCCGATGATTTAAGGAGGCGTTGCTGGTTATGAGGTTCATTTCAGCTCTTTGATTTATATTTAGAAAGTGCATAAAAGGTAAGTAAATMAATAATGAAAGCATTATTCATGGAAAGGACTTGGTAAACTGTGCAAACATAAACGATACTTTCCGCCAAGTATATTCACTATTTTTCACGCTTGTAATTTTCACAAAAAGGAAAAAAAAACTATTTCCAAGGGTAGAACAATCGAGGCCACAAAGCCATGTGTGGGTTGTACAAACACACATACCTGCTCAAATAAATCTAGGGATTTGTATGCTAACTCAGGGTTTAGCTTAACGTTTTGTTGTGTCTCGATCAATATATTTCATTTGTATGGCACAAATTCAACATTGGTTTTCAAAGTTTGAGTTTTTCGAGAATTTGAAATTATCTTATACTTTACCAAGCTACATCCGAACCTTTGGTCGTTTCGTATAACAATGTTATGTGGGGGTCTTTAAAGGGAAAATTCCCTTTTTAAGAATCGTTTTCAGTCGATCATGAGTAAAAACCTAAATTTATTCAGAACCGTCGAGAAGTACTCCAACTCAAAATATATACATATGTTTTACGATTAGAGTGAGTAGGTTTGCTTTGAAATTTAATAAGTATCTTTAAATTTTGTCTTAATTCCTGTCTCTTAATTCCTGTCTCTTACAATTTTTGTGAGATTTTACTAAACTTGATGATGACTGTTTATTAGAGTTGCGTTAGTGATGCCACACGGGTCAACGACGTTACATAACTGAATTATGTCTTCCGTGAATCCGAGAACTTTGATATTTAAGCTTAACATCCTTAATATATATAGAGATTTACTTTGAAGTCTTCAGTAAAAAAAAAAAGAGCAGCCAGAAATGACGACGTAGGTTTGAATATTTAGAGAAAAAATCACATAACGAATATTGATCATTGAATTTTTTTAAGAAACACGAGTAAACCACGAGCTTCATATGACAGGGTTACTAGGTTACCAGGGCGCATACGCAACAAAGAAAACGAACTAGACCGACAGATCGAGTCTCTTTTTTTGTCTGCAAGAATCGCCAATATGAAGAACAYTCTGCTAGCAGGGAATCTCGTGGGGGTCCACGAAGGGAAAATTACCTTTTTGTGTAGCTTCTTACTAACGACTTCGATCGTGGAGTCAGCAACAAAAATAAATAAATACGCATATATATAATAATTAAGAAAATAACTATATAACATTGTAAAGTTGTGTCTACATGGGGAATTTTTTCTTGACAAGTATCTTTGACATGTTTCATAGATCATTTATCATTTATGGACTTTACAAGGTTCACAAGTTTTCTTTTGCTCGTCCAAACGTGCCCGATATTCAAAAACGGAGTTTTTTTATGCACCACTCAACACTGGATGGTAATTAGATCCAACTTGATACCCAAATGATGAGAATATRTGGACTGCGTAGCACTTATGAAATACAAGATATAGAAATATGCTCTGGATGCCAGTGGAGTGATGGGCACCTTAATTAWTCATCAAATATTAACATAAMATGACRAGTAGGTATTGTTTGAGGTTGCTGTTGCGCTAGGCTTACGGCGAGCGTTGAAGAGCGAGCTAAACAACTTGTCGCGGCAAGCCTAGTGTGCGGGGAGCTTTACTGGTTGAATAAGGTCAGGAACCACGGAAAATCGGCTGTGATTGACGGTGATTTTAATTGACGATAATCAAACGTAAGCTGTAAACAATACAATCAATGAACTAATTACTAAATGATAGGATTACAAGATAATAGAATCACGCATGAAGAATAACATGCGTTCCGATCATAGTTTTAGTATGACAAACTCTAAAAAATTAAGAAACTAAAGGTACAAGTAGAATGATACTTATATAGTTTTTATGATAACATAGCAATAAAATAACTACTATAAACTCTTATGAATACTAATATAAATGATGCGATTTTGGCTATGCCTTAGGGCGTGCCACTCCAAGCGACGTGAAAACGTACTAGCGATAATGAGATCAATAAAGGCTTTAGACTTAAAGGTACAGATTTAAATGTACAAATACAGATATAGGCCYGGCTTTGTAAATTGAATGCTTGTTAAGCAATAGAAATCTCAGGGCGTTGCCGTGTGCTTGACTAAACACGGTATAAACCATAGACGGGTCTTATAAAGTAACTAAAAGGCTATTATGCCCGAGGCTAAGGCTTAGACAAGGTGTAAAGCTAATTACTGTACTTACACATCTGTTCCCGYACTCTAAARGGCCAGGGGGTTACTTTAACTACTTCTTCCAACAGCTTCCAAATATACGACTCTATCGTGGACGATTCAACTTAACTAAAMTAAAACTGGGAACGAAGCTAACATTTCCTGTCGGTMTTACACGTGGCATAGCTTGTGACGTAATTGAGTAAACATAATGTGGCAAATCAGAATTAACATGCAAATAATCAAAGACAGAGGAGCCTCGATTCTATGTTTCTAACA